TGCGGATGCGGATATAGTCCCCGAAACACAACACCTCAATATCCCCGGAACTGAACCGCACGATATAGACGAAGAAGAAGAAGAGGAACTCAATTCACTCCATTCCTTTTCAGGGTCCGAACCGGACTTAGATCCCGACTATGGCTTCGACGAAGATGAAGAGACATTATCTAAGCCTCCGGCTAGAAGTAAGAGTTTCTCAGAGAGAATGAAGGAGGCGATTGAGGCGGATAAACCGCAGGGGCGAGCGAATGATCAGGAAGTGGATGATGAGAAAGAGAAGAAGAGGAAGGAGAAGACGAAGGAGAAGACTCAGACTCAGCCGCGTGCTAGGAAGGTGAATCCGGCGGCGCATGCTAATTATCGGTCTTTGAAGTTGCGGAATCGAGGGAGTAAGGGGAGGTACGGGGGGCGGTTTGGGAGGAGGTAGATAGGTGGTAGATGAGATAGATGGAGGGGATGGGATTGATAGATTACAGTGGAGAGAGGATACCTAATGTTGTCCCTGTGGTGTCTTGTCTGCGCGGGACATGATATGAGCAATGACTATAGCATAAGTATATAATTCTTCTTGAGATACCATATCAGTTAAACTATACATCAAGTCGAGGCGTCTATATGTCTATCATAGCACATACCACACAACACAAATACCCCGAGCTTTACAGCTCAATCAGGAACATACCGATCCCGAGCATATTGCACCCGTCTTGCCTGAGCCACAGCATCCCGAGACGACCTACCCCCTCTCCTAGAATACGACGGTTTATTCACCCGTCCAGAAGAACCAGGGAACCTCGGCCCCCTATCACCCCGATACACCGGCGTAGCAGTCCTACTCTCCTCCCTCTCCCTCCGCGAGTCCGAAGGACGAGCATTACCACTACCAGCACCACCACCCACAGTATCCTCATACTGAACATTCCGATCCCAATCCTCAAGAGAAACATACGGACTCCTCAACCAAGCCTGCAACTCATGCAAGAACAACCGGGCATTATCCCTACCCAGAAAATCCCGCAACAGTTCCTCCGCCTGCCCCGCACTACCCTTGATATCCACAGTCCGTAGGATAGCAATGATATACTCGAGCAGAAACTCTGCGTTATTGCCGCGCCGGCTTTCGAGTCTCTGCTGGCCGGGGCGCGCAACCCCTCCCCCGCCTTGTCGTTGGTCCTCTGGCTCTGGGTTGAGGAACTCGAAGACTTGCAGTTCCCGACGGATCCATTTCCGGGCTCGCGAGACGAGGTCTTCTTCGCGGTTGAAGCGCTCCGGCGTCAGTTCGCGGTATTGGGAGAGACGGTTGGAGCCGACGCGGAGGGAGTAGAGTTGGTGGCGGTAGATGCGTTGTCGGCGGCGGAGGGGGTCGGTGGACGACTGTTGTTGTTGTTGAGGACGGGGGCTGCGCGGACGACGGGGTCGGCGGGGTGGACGATGGTGTGAGGGTGTTGGTAGATGTGAGGTGGTTGTGGTGTCGCTTGTGCTGGCGGGGAGTTGGTAGATCTTAGGTCCGTTGGTGTTGTCGAGGTTGTACTTTACGGAGGTGATCTCACTCTTGCCTATATGTAGTCAGAGACTTGCTGGGGGAGAATACGAAAGGTGTACATACATAGCGGACAGTTGCGACGCTGTTCCAGCCAGCTCACCAAACACAGAAAGTCAAAGTTCGCATGGCGACATGGCACCGCGATGGCGGCTTCGGAGATGGGTTCGAGACAGATCACGCACGGGTCAGCGTCGTGCTCGCCTTCATCGTGCGCTACCTCTTGCAGAGTCCGCTGGAGGATTTCCTGTTGCAGGTCGACATCATCGGACATGAGATCGACACCCGACCGCTTGTTGGAAGCTTGAGGACGGGTTGATGGGTGTCATGGAGCGATAAGTTGAAGCAGTCGCTTTGCGGCGTATCGCTGACCGCCTGGGACGTCATTCCTGGCGTTACCGCCTTTACTGTGGGCTTCACCGCCAGAATGTAGTGGTTTCTGTCGGCAGAAACAGTACGGGAGACGGTAGTGCCCGTGTGGCAAAACAGGTATTCACTGGGGATTACTAACTGCCACGGAGTTATTTATCGCCACGGGTGTACTACTGTGTAACTTCAGCAGTGTTTGGAGTTTGTCATGAACTAGGTTCTGAGCTCAGCAGAAACGTGAGCTCGACATATATAGATAAGGAGATTCATTTATGAATGCGTTATTAACTCTGGAACTGTCCCACAATTCTGTTTTTCCGCAAAATAGTAGCTTTAGTCTGCTGGTTCTTTATCCGAGTACTGTGGCCAGCCGTGTGGTTAGTGTAACAATTCCGTGCCATTCGGCCGGAGGGAAACTGGGTGCTGGCGTCCACCGTATCACAACTCTCGCGGCCGCATACATTGGCGAAATCTCCGCAAAACTCACCTCAGTCGCAAGCTGTAGCCAAAGAAAAGTCCTACTTCTATGTAGAGACATGCACTAACGATACACTGCTGATTGCTATGATTGATGAACAATGAGATCTGCGAAGGCTGTAGTCACTGAAAACACAGCCGCCGCCATGCGTGTCCAGGCTCACGGCGCTCCGGCGCGAACCATCACAAGTTTAAGGCGATGGTCCATAGCCAACAGAGAGCTGCCAGGTAAGCTAGCTCTACAGGAAACCTATTACTGTACTGACGTTCTTTCTCTTCGGAATCAGCGGTATCCCATATCCGTTCTATTCACGTCTACGACTTCGATAATACTTGTAAGAATAATCCGTGGCGCCGGCGAACGACAGCGTCAAATTAATCCCGTCCAGTGTTCTTGAGTCCTCTTCCAAACCCACAGCTATGGAACGGCCCGACCATCGGGTTTCTGCAGGCCTACGAGAGCTTCGCGAATGGAGGCTGGTGGCACGATCCGAACTTGCTGGCCGCGACCGGCGACGGTATCGATAAGGAAGAGCCACGAGCCTGGGAGGGATGGTGGAACGAGCAGATTGTGCGGCATAAGTGATTGTGTTCGGCGTGGCTGGCAGAGAACTGACCTGTTACAGGTCCAATTGGTCAAGCTGAGTATGGAGCAGAAAGACGCCCTCACGGTGCTTCTAACAGGCCGCGGCGAGAGTAATTTCTCCGATCTTGTCCGGCGTATGGTGGACAGTAAGAAGCTGGAGTTTGATCTCATCTGCCTCAAGCCTGAAGTTGGCCCAAGGAGCCAGCGATTCTCCACTACTATGGAGTTCAAGCAAACTTTCTTGGAAGATCTTGTTCTCACTTACGACCAGGCCGAAGAGATTCGCGTTTATGAAGATCGCGTGAAGCAGTGCGTGTTCGCTACTACCTTTCTTGTGACACACTTCTGATGTTCTGCCAGTGTGAAAGCTTTCCGGGATTATTTCGAGCAACTAAACCGCAGGTTCCAGGCACCCAATAGTGGAAGAAGGCCCATCGGCTCTGAAGTCATTCAGGTCGCCGAAGGATCAATGTACCTTGCCCCTGTAATGGAGACTGCCGAAGTGCAGCGGATGATCAACTCCCATAACCTTACTATCCGCAATCCGTCGCTCAATCGGGCCAAATCTCCTTACGGCCGGCTTCGCATCAAGCGGACTATTTTCTACACTGGATATTTGATTTCCAATGCTGATTCTGGTCGGCTAATCCGCCAGATTTTGAACCCCATGCTGCCATTTGGGCATGCTGATTCTAATGATCTGAAGTACATGGCCAACAGTATACTTATCACTCCCCGTCCAGCGCCCCGGTCCATTCTTGACAAGGTCGGTGGCATCGGTAAGAAATTGAGCTGGCAGGTTACTGGAACTGCATGCTTTGAGAACCGCGTCTGGGCTGCGCGCCTGACGCCTGTGCCAGCCACAGAGAAATACTACACAGAGAACCCCCACCCCGTGGTAGTGCTGGCGGTGCGCAAAGGCGCCCGTCCGATTGACGCGGGTAAGATCCAGAATTGGCATCCTGTCCCTGCCGACAAGGCCTTGACTTTCGAGACGATCGTCGGAGAGAAGGTTGTCCTACGTGTTGAGGAAGAGAACCCCAATGAGGGCGAATGGGAGAGTCAGTTCTTGAATAAAAACCACAAGAGGCGTCATCAGCAGGAGCGGGATGAAGAAATCCTGTATCCAGATGGAACTCAGGAGGGGCCGCCCCATAGCAGGCCGCACTATAACCCGCGGTATGGAGGCAACAACCGCAATCACCATGACGATGGACCTCGACGAGGTGGCTCATACCGCGGCCGCGGCCGTGGGTCATCACAGCGAGGCAGAGGCCATCAAAACCGTGGCGGCACCCGGGGTCGAGGCCGTGGTCGTGATGCTGGACCTCCAGGAGGGTATCGGTCCTTGGATGACTATGGTGGCGGGTATGATGGGAATCACTACGAGGAGAAACCAGGACCAGGCGGGGGCCCGGTGATGAACTATTAGTTTTGGCTTTTATCAAGCTAACAGCGGTGTCCTGGGTTGTTCATTCCATGTTTACTTGTTGCATACTGCTGTTAAATGATATCCTCAAATGACACACTACCACCAAGGTTATGTACCGCAATTGCTCATCCGACCAATCTGCTGCACGATGCAGGGGTCAGTGAAATGATACAGACTAGTTGATAGATACCACACGAGATCCAAATTAATGTCATTCGAACCTCTGCAGGAAAGCTCGGCATAACTTTATTACCTCCACTGCCCCTACCATTCAGCACTATATGCCGGAGAGTATATTTCACATACTTATCAATGATATCTTCCCTTCCAATTTCCCTCTTCATACCCTCAACAGGCATGATCACGCGGCCGATGGAGATGTTCTACTCTATGGGAAGGGTGCAGCTGTATCTAAGGAAGTTTGAGCTTAGTGATATATAAGTAACCCAAACGAACAGTTCAATTGCAAAATCGTAAATTCAAAATTCAGCTGGCAGTCTGTAGCTAAAAAGAGTAAGTAATGTCATCAAATCATTCTGCGTAAAAATCAACCCTAACATCGTGAAAACCGTAGCATCATAGTAGTTCAATTTTCAGGCGGTGCCTGAGCCAGCCGCAGGCGTAGCAGGGACCACGGTCCTACACTGGTAAGCTCTACCCGACTTCCGTTCAATCCAAGCATAGCGCCGCATGTCTTCCTTTGTAGCCTGTGTACCCGAATCTACCCCGGTACTATTCAGTAACCGCTGGAAGGCCTCATCCTTCACATGCAACATGCGCTGATCCTCTGTGCAGAGATCTTCCTTCGTGATTTTCACTCTTTTTGGTATCCTGCTCATGGACAGAATTGACTCCAGGGAACGAGCACCATGTAGGACGCGGGGAGTGAACAACAGTGCATTGAGGACACCAGGATCCATGTCAATGAATTCTCCTTCGCCAAACCCGAAATTCCTCTGAAGCATGCTTCGAAGCAGCATCGCTCGACGGAGGACGAAATAGGTCTCGTCCCCTCTCCCCAAGCTGCTCGGCCCGAGGATGTTTACGTGCCCTGCCAAGTTATCTTTGAAGATTTTTTTGATTCCGAGGCGCTGACTTGGGGGTCTCTGACAGTTCCGGAACACGCCAATCGAAAGTGGCTTGTTTATCGTTTGGCTCTTCAGATACCAGTTGAGAACATTGTTAAGATAAGTGTAGTTTATCTCGTGTTTGACGTATCCTCGGAGTCTGCTCACGAAGTCCAGTACTTTCGCACCTTGAAAATCTTCAGAATTGAAGCTTACTTCAGGAAATCCATTGAAGTGGTCTGTCCCCTGTTCGAAGAAAAAGATGGCACGCCCGATGGGACATCGTACGCTATTGTCGAGGTATTCGCCGTCTTGCATTGGAGCGAGGAAGTATTTCAGCCATCCCAGCTTCTCGTCGCCGAAATCGCTATCGAAGTTTTCAAAGAAGACCAGTGGAAGTCTTCCTGATAGTATCTCGCTCTGTACTTGGGAGAATGTATCTTTCAAGTCACTGTATTGATACACTTCGGAAATATCCAAGTTGATGGAGGTCAGCGTTGGTCCCGAGGTTCTATCAGGGTTTCGATTCAATTCATCAAGTAATGCCGTGACATGCTTTTCGGATCTACAGAAATCGGGGGTCTCCTCGGGCCTTCTCACCAAGCCACTGCTGTCTGATATGTCTCTGAAGAATTCTTCATGACTCGATTTGGTGCCTCCGATGAAGATGTAGATGCCACGTCCTAATGGCCGTTCTACCGCGCCGTCCTTGTATACACCCCTCGTAATGGATTTGAGGAAATGCGGCAACCACCCCAACTGTCTTCCTTGGAAGGTCGAGTCAAATTCATCGAAAAATACAATGGGCATCCCGCGGGTGGTCCGTATGGCTTCGAATGCACGTTGGAGTTCATTCTCGTGCTGGAGCTGCGAGAGATTGTATTCCAAAAATACAATGTTATCCCTATCGGCTTTCAGTGTGTCCCTAATGACCTCCTTCACACCGAATGACTTTCCAGACCCTGGCTGGCCGAACACGGCAATGGACAAAGGTTTGGGTTCCCTATTGTACCGGTACCATTCCTCAACCGTGTTGGCAATTTTTCGGAAGCCATCGACTTCCCCCCGATCAGCCGTGACCAAGTTGCCAAACCGGGCACCGGGCATGTATGGTAGTACACACTCAAAGCCATGTGTCAACGTATCATGGGCAGCCTTTTTTGTGGAGCACGGCAAACTGTCAAGGACTAACGGTTTTCTGAAAGTCTGCTCTTGAGCATTTTCGTCTTGCACGATCAGATCTAGCTCCACAGACACCAAAACCGGTTCTGAGCCAGATTCAAGTTTCATGCGGTCGTTAGTGGGCATGAATTTCTGGGTGTTTCCTTTTGGAAACATAATCGGGGCACAGCGACGAGACCATCTGATTCCAGTCATCATTGCGTCTCTCATTTGCGTTATGCCGAGATCCGCAATGGACCCAGCGGATTCTTCTTCCAGAGAGGACACAAGTCCACGCTCCCAGGCAACCATCAGCTCTTTCTTCAACTTTTCCCACTTATCTCCAATGAATCCAATGAATCCAAATTTCCTCATATCATTATCTGAGTACGAGCGAATAAGCTTGCCTTCGGCGCTGGTTGGCTCGTAGATGAGATGGGCCTTGGTACCCTGGGTATGGAAGCCCTTGTAGATCGCGCCTTCAAACCCAATCTGGATAAGAAGGTGGAAATAGTTGTTGGGTGATTGCTTCCCTATCCTTCTGCAAGTCCCTTCCATCACTCTCCAGATATTCTCGACCGTCTGGCCCCAGGACAGGCGGCGGTCTGTAGTCGTCGATCTAAGTAGGTCATCTGCATCAAAGACAAGCAGAACATTCTTCTCTGCGCGTTGAGACGCATTAGCGAGTGTCACAATCCTATCAGCACTTACCCATCTCAACCGACTCACGATAGGCTTTCTTCCGCTGCCCCTGATTCTGTCTTCCACCTGATCTGCCGTACTGTTGCCCAAATATTCAAAGGTTGAAGCCGCATTCGGATTCTCCCGAGCCAATCCCAGCAATGCACGAAAACTTGGAACATCAGCTGGTTTCACATTGTTCTCGACGTTGATACCGAATATCAGTGTACCCTTATGGTACCGATTTCTTGAGTCCTCATGGTCGGCGGCAGCATGAACCTAGATACAATCACCGACCTGTAGTCGAAGTCAGTACACCTGATGCGGGGAAAATACGATATCGGCAAACAGCTCACCTCCAAGGTTTCAATGATTTTGGTCTGTTCAGTGAAAATTCTTCCTTCGTGCTAGAGAGATTTCGATGAGCTGTATTCAGAGTGTTTGACAGAGAGGAAGATGATTATTGCGTACATATTCGCGGTCATTCGTCATGAACCTGTTCTCATGGCTCATCCAGCGAAGCCTGTTCAGAGCCTCGTCGCCGCGTCTATAGATCGAGAGTTCGAACCATGACCGGTTTGCTCCGGCGACAGTAGATCCATTGTCGTCGGAAGAGGTCACAAGCTGAAGGCTGTCGAGAAGCCCCAGAAGGGAAGCACTCAGTTCCTGGCGAGAGTATGTCAGATTAGACTCTTCGGACCAATTTAAACAGAAGAATGACATCTTACCTTTGATTTGAACCATTTCACGGTTCGAGCTCCTGCCACAACATCCCCTTGGTTACCACCGTCACCTTGGTCGTGATAAAAGCCGCTTAGGCCAACTTGCTCATCCCTTTTGGGGAGGGGTTGAGGGTCATTGACGGCGGCCATTTTGTTTCTGCGTGCTGTCTAGTTCGTTATTATTGATCTGTGCTTTCTGGTTCTGATCCTTGAAATCTGGTGCCACGAAAGGTGCTTTTATATCTTTCCCATGCCGCTACCCCACGAAGGCCGACAACATGCAGCACAGCTTCCGACACAATGCACAGTACACCAACATCTCCGAAGCTAACTTCTGCTGCAATCATAACATGATCCCACAATTCCGTAATAACCCAGTCGATACACGTCACCCATGCAAAATGCGGATAGCACCATATCAGCTGGAATGATATACGCAAGCATCGAGAAATCCAACCAATACATGAGTTGGAACGGGCTGTGCCGACTCCAAGGGATTGCAACCCCAGCTTCCACTATCCAATCCGGATGTATTCTCCACTCACACCTAGTGGGCTTCTGGTGGTGTATATACTTCCATCTTGTAGTTCAACAGGAGTGCAAGGACTGAATTTGGGCCGAAAAGGATGTGTTTCTGTTAGGATCAGCAAATAGACTCCGCCGGCATCTTTGTTTGGGGTTACTCCAAATCCCCCGCATTAGATGCATATTTCAAACCCTCCTTTAGCGAGAACGGCATTGATTCTAGCTAAGCCTAAGCTATTATGTTTTATAATGATAGTATAGGTCATTATAATAAATCGAACTACATAGCGCAGTATATCGATACATCTCAAAAGTATGAATCAGCGTCCATGTGAGCATTGTCAATCTTGCGAATAGCTGTGATCAGGCACTCCAATCTTTTCCTTTCTATCTTATATGCACGAAGTCATCTATGCTGCCTATCTAGTTTTTGTCTGTGGGGCTACGTGGTGGTATGCCTGTGATATTTGCGTCTGCTGTACATTTTTCCATGAGTGCATGGTGCATGGTGCACCACGATAACTGAGTTATTGTGCATATACGCGTTAATGAGATTAGAGAAAATATTCTCTAGCTTGCGATCCTGATTTTGATTGGACCATGCAAGCTGCAGTATGTGTTTTCATTTAGGTCGCATACGCAGAGACACAAAAACGGATATGTACATAGCCTTGTCTCTTATGTAGCCTACGACAGCTGCCAATGACAGGAGCCAGCTCTCAGCCTTGCATATAACTGAGTCAGTTCCATAGTAATTCCAGAAGCCATTTTGAATTTATGCCTGATCGGCGGTTCCCTTATTGTCATCTTGGTAGGTGAAGTCATGTCTAGGGTTAGGCGTGAGCTCTGTTTAGTGATAAAAACAGTAGATCGATAAGATAGTATTGGGGTATATGCTGAGACCATTTACTCTTCCTTTTTCATTACCTCTACAGTCTGATAGTAGGACATGGAATAGTATTCGAACTGGGGAGTAGAGCATGAATATTGAAAAATAATTAATATTCCGAAATACGAACGAACCTCAATGAATAGTAGTATTGCTATCCATAGTACAGTAATGCTTCCTATCAATATACATAAGTTAACAGGCGATTCTAGTAACGAGTTACATTCAGTTCAAAAGAGCCTGCACAGCACCCCGCAGGAGATGCAACTGTGTTTCCAATTCGTCGATCTTTATCATTATACGCAAGACCATGCAGGCTATGGAGCCCAACCTTTATAATAAATCGGCTGTTTACTGTGGCTCGGTTAATCTTCTACAATAGCACGTAGGGCACAATATTACTTTGAGTTGGGTTCTGTCTCCTATGTCCCAATGCAGTCTCAGTTGAGGGAAGCCCTCTATCGACATCAACTTGCTTCAGAATGGAGGTGTGTCCCTTTACGATACTATATCTTGTTACCTACCTAATTTAGAGTCCGTCACAATGATCTTTGGTTTGGGCCTTATCTGTTTTCAACATTTGACTTACTTGTGATGGAGCAAGCATAAGTTCTACAACTTTGTTGGAGAATGAGATTGAAGAAAGACTCATTCTACACTGGATACCATTGGCGCCTGTTTCAACTCCAAGAAGAAATGGCTATATTTCTAAACCCCAAGTTGGGATCTACAATAGAAATTTCCGTGTGGGGAAGTGGTAACTGTGCTAAAATGCAAATTCATTTCATAGAGACGGTCCTTCGTGCTAAGTTGGTAGCTGAATCGGACTGACTGCGCTGAATATATATCCCTGTGACATTGCCTTATCTGCCAGTATCCTGGACACTTTTTCCGATTAACTATCCTTAAGGCATAGCTGAGTTTTGAAGCACCCATTGGTCGTTGAACAAACGCTTGCCACATTAATGTGCCAGAATGATGCGAAGGCAACAAAGGAGATGTTCTGCATAGTCGCATAGACTGATCTGTGGGCATTAATTGCGCTGCTTACTGCATGCAAGAATGGTGATGTGCGCAGAGAAGTAAAGGTATCGATGTGCCCCTTTACCAAGCTAAGTGGGTCAAACAAGAAGTTAACTGCGATACTATCGATGGGAATTCTCACGGTATGGCCGTGAAGCAAGCTGCGAAACTTACCGGGCGTCAAGGGTAAACTATTTCGCTAGCAGCAACTAGAGCCATTCCCGGAAGCGTGCTAGATCTGCAAAACTTTATTTCATCATCGCCATCATGTCTGTCCATGGACCGGAAACCCCGGTTCGCGCGTGTCCCACTTCGCACTCGCTGTTGGATCGCGAATGCTGAAATTATCGGGGTTGTTATGGTGGTCCCCTACTGAAATGAGTGCTTTCAAATCTTGGACGTCCACCCCAACACACCGGTTAGGAGCTGTACATGCCGAGCATAGTTAACACACCATTCCAACGCCTGACAGGAATAACTAGCATCTGCAAAGCAACAACTGATAAGCAAACTTCAGCTGGACAGTTCCGAGTGATAAATCTTCTGCCGGCATGAACGTTCAACAAGTCGTGACGTCACAGCCATGAAGTCTCACGAAGCTACGATGCAACTCATCAGGGGGTGGGTGACGTGCTACAGTCTTTCTCATATTGGAAATGAAGTCATGCAAGGGTTCAGAGTCGAGACCAGTAGCTATATCCGACGGATCAACGCCCATCCAGCTGTCGACAGCCCCAGGTCTTTCCGTCGGATATACGGCTCTATATCCGGCATTACGGCTATGACCCCGGCCGAGATGGACGTTCGCCTGTTAAAACTTGCTTTAGAGTTCATTGACCAGAGGATGGCTCTAATAGCTGCAGATTGCCACTGCATCTTGTTCTTATAAAGTAACTATGTCTCCGCTGATGTATCGTGGTGATATAGGATCAGTGTGTTTGTTGCTCCCTTGGGCCCCCGAGATCGACTAGCCCTCCCACATCATGGAAACTATTCGAGACTCAGCATTTGGGAAGCTAGTACGCATCTTCAGCAGGAAGAGATGGCTGCGTTACCCTGAAGAGGATGATACGGGCATGTGGACCGAGTACCTGAAGACAGAGAAACAGGTCAAAGATGAAGAAGCAGCAGCCTCTGAAAGCGATCAGGAAAACCTCGGTCTCTATACTGTTCTTTCGCAGGCGTCCAGAGCATCACGTCGCCTATCAACCGCGTCGACAGCTAGGCATGACGGGGCAGAAGGAGCGCATCCAAATTCCAATGCATCACTTGTCATCGATTGGAGCGGGCCGGATGATCCTGAGGTAGGTATAAATCATATGCACTGTCTCCGCCTGCATCCGATAGCTTGATTTCGTGCTGACAGGCATATAGAATCCGCATAACTGGAGCACATTCAAGAAGTTGTTCGTTAGCAGCTTAATCTGGCTTCTGACGTTCGCTATCTACATCGGCTCGGCGATATACACCCCTGGCATCCCCGGCGTCAGTGAGCAGTTCGGAGTGAGCAGTGTGGCTGCCACGTTGGGACTAACACTGTTCGTATTGGGATATGGCTTGGGTATGTACTAGCAGCATCTGCTATCATCCTTCCCAAAATCAGCTATCATGGTAACTAATAGCATAACAGGCCCAATGGTCTGGTCTCCCTTGTCAGAACTCCCTCCAGTCGGCCGAAGCCCTACGTACGTCCTTACACTGTTCGTCTTCGTCTTCTTCCAATTTGCCGTCATCTACGCTACAAACTTCGGAATGCTTCTAGCCTTTCGATTCCTTACTGGCTTCATTGGATCCCCAGCTCTAGCCACTGGCGCAGCATCCATGGGTGATATCTGGAACCCTAAGATGCGCGACTACATGATCATCATATGGGGAGCATTCGCCATCTCTGCACCAGTCCTAGGACCCCTGGTAGGCGGATTCGCAGCACAAGCAGAAGGATGGAAATGGACCATATGGCAGCTCCTCTGGGTCTCCGGCTTTGCTTGGGTTCTCCTATTCTTCTTCCTCCCGGAAACATTTGCACCCAACATTCTCTACCGGCGAGCTCGTCGTGTCCGCCAGATCACCGGCAACTCTAAATACCACTGCGAAGCCGAGATCGAGGTCGCCAACATGAGGAAGATGGTAAGCTCTCTCTCTCCCCCCCTCCCCCCCCCGCCTCCCTCCTCAAATCTCTACAATCGGTCCACCCCCACTAACAACACCCCATTCACACAGGACATAATCTTCGAAGCCCTCGTCCGCCCCTTCGAACTCTGCTTCTTCGAACCCATCGTCCTAATCATGAACCTCTACATCGCCCTCATCTACGGCATCCTCTACATCTGGTTCGAAGCCTTCCCCATAATCTTCAGCGAAATCCACGGCTTCAACACCGGCCAAAGCGGCCTCGCCTTCCTCGGCATCCTAATCTCCACCTGCGCCATCACCATCCCCTGCTACTTCTGGTGGAAATGGAAATACCAAGCCAAACACTTCGACGAGAACTGGAACATCACACCGGAACGACAGCTGCCCCCAGCCTGCGTCGGATGCTTCGCCCTCCCCATCTCGCTGTTTTGGTTCGGCTGGACGGGCCAATTCGCCTCCGTGCATTGGATCGTGCCCATCATTGCGTCGATGTTCTTCGCCGTCGGTGGGTGTCTTATTTTCAATTGCATTTTCTGTTACCAGGCGCATGCGTATCCGAAGTATGCGGCGTCGGTGCTGG